TCTAGTGGAAGCATCATGCTATTAATTTCATATTCACATGCATGGAGGCCTTATCTTAGGCTAACACTAAAGACTTTGGGGCAGTACTAAAGATTGTGGGCCAGTTAATGCATCTATAATGGGTAGAAAACTTTGGAAAAACAAATGCAATTTGATTATATCAAAAAATTTCACAAATAACCATGCATGATTCATGCAGAACTAAAAAGCAAGAAAGAGCACATTTTAAGAAGTAGGTACCACCTTCAAGCAACAACCTTTGTCAACGCCTCTAATAAGCGACAGTGTTGCAACAGGAAGGAATGGACATTGAAATAAATTTGTGGGTGGATTAAGGGATTAAATTAGAGGATTGGATTGGAGTGGTTTTTTTAAAGTAAAACCAAATGTATTATCATTAAATGAAAAGAGTGCAAATAATAAAGCATTGCTAGATGAAAACAACTAAAAATAAAATATGTTGACAATGCCAACATAAAAGAAAAATCCTCAGTGGCCACATTAAAACTTTCTAATTTGAAGCCTGGTATATGGTATGTTTAGAAGAGAGACAAAAAAACTTTCTTATTACTTATTCCCCTCTTAGCATATAGAATTTGAAACCTCCTATCAACAAGCTCCTCTATGCTAGAAATGTTAAAACTAAGAGTGCAACTAATTCAAGTTGACTCGTGAGCCCACTCAAACTTGACTCAACGTATAGTGCATAAAATTACTAATATAAATGTACTTAAAATATATTGGAATACAATAATATTAGTTACTAAAAATATTTAAAAATTATCTCTCTTCCATAATTCAAGTAATTTCTCACTATTTCTCATTTAATTTCTTATTTTTTTCATCATGTTTTATAATAATTGCTTAAATAAGAATACTCTTCTCTTATTTATAATAAAGAAGTCCAGTGGAGAGCCAACTTGACTTCGCAAAATTAAGCTCAAACTTGATTAATTAATCAAATTCAGATCAAGTCGCGAGTGGCTCTAGTTCTACTCAACTCGACTCATTTATACCATCAGCTAATATCATAGGTAACAGAAAGAGTGTTTGGATCACCAATATCCCTAAACATCAAAAAGATAGTCATGACAAAAATTCCTAATGGAATTGGATCATCAATCATGAAAGTAGGCATGAAAATTGGATTAGCCGCAAAAGCACTAATTCCAAGCCAATATTTAAAGTAGATTTCAACTTTTGAGTACAAACCAAATCAGAAGCAGATAGAACAACAACCATTACATCAAAAGATAGGATTTTATCATATGAAGATTCCACTGTTGTAGTTGCTAGGAAGTTTTCATAACTCTAGGTATGCCCCGAAGCATTCTTAAAAAGTTGCAACTAGATATTTTAGAAAAAATTATCAAAATTGTCCCTTGACTATTTATGTAAGACTAAAAATAGTCCCCAACTATACCAAATGACTATTTTGGTCCCGCAACATAGGACTATTTTGATTCTTCTTTAAATAATTGAGGGGCAAAAATGATCATTTAATAAAGTTGGAGAATATTTTGCTCCTTCATAAAGAGTCAATGGATCATTTTGATCATTTTCTCATATATTTTAGCATGTCCTGGGATGATACTTATTTATAGAACTACAAAGGTATTACATAGAAATAAAACTATTTTTACATGAAAAGCGATCTACCAAACCTAATAAGGAAGTATTATGAATATGCCGAGATACAATCTTCACATGTCATTAATGGAGAGGTTTGTCATGCAACATCGGAAAAAGAGTGGTCATTGATTTAGGCATACATTGAAATTGATTTAATGAGGTAGGCCGTACACATTAGGAGGGAGAGCAAAACATTGTTTCATCATAAATTGGACAAGCCTAGTGAGCGAGCTTGGAAACTCCACATACTGAATACACAAGGAGATAGTTGATCGCAATTATAGGAGGGCACACCACTCTTGAATGTGCCAATACTAATGGTTTTTTAAGGGTGAGTTCTTAAGGGATTGAATTGTGGGATTCAATTAAAGCGTTTTAAAGAAATCATCTTATTATATTAGGGTTGAAATGGCCGGCCAATGCTAGGATTTCAAGAGTTGAGAGGTTGAGAGAGGAAAAACAAACAAACATAATGATAAGTTAAAGATTTTAGCAAAGAACTTCAAAAAGAGAAAGAAGTCACAAAGCCCTTCAATGCAATTGCAAATAAGAAACAATTTTTTATTAATTCATTAGTGATTTTTAGGCTTACATGATACTTGTATATATAGATCTACGAAGGCATGAAATAAAAAGTAAGCAATTTTCGCACGTGGCAATGAGGGGTAGGCCAAAGCAATAAGAAATTTTGCAATGCTCCTTGAAACGACCTTCACATATCTTCAATGGAGGAGCCAATCATAAAAAATAGGAACAAGAATGACACTTTGATTTAAGCATAACAATACACATAAGAAAGAAAGGACAGTGGAACATTGTTTCACAATGTGTTTAATTCCATACAAGGGGTGATCGCCCAAGCCTTAAGAAAGCTCAGAAATTCCTTGAAGTAATCCACATATTAAATACAACCGTGCAAGGGAAGAGACGCAACATGTTAATGGTGGAAATCTACATGAAATTAATTACCATGTCCGAGCTAGATAATGGGTTATTAGACTAGCATCACGTATGATAAGTCGTGTAGGTAAAGATCTCAGATTCAAAAGCAAAACCAAAAAAGTCTGGAAATATCAAACGGATCTAATCATGCAAAATCTGTGAATCCAAAACTCTTATAGTTAATAAGTAAGCCCAAATGATAAAAGCCATATGAACATAGAACAAACTCGGACGAGCTAGATCTAAATCAAAAGTAACCGTTTTGGTTAAGCAAGGTTACAACAGATATTAATTAAACCATTTGAATTAAAGATCAAATCAAATCATATGATAAAACTAGGCCTCCAAATAAATTTATTCAAGCACATTAACCTTAATGTCACTTTTTAATGTTAGTTAAGTCCACCCAATATATTCTAGTATTTGCACTACCGGAAGTAGTGGAAAATGTAAAAAAGGAAGTATCACTATCATCATAATTCTTTAAGTAATGTGTGTGCGTGCGTTTTTTTTTTTTTTTTTCATACTAGGAAGTTCTTTTGTACCTTTATAATATTTTATTATTCTACTTAACCATGGTCATTCAACCATTAATGACCCCCCACATATCTGTCAGGACTCAGACTGCTGTAGTTAAACAGCATCAAATTTTACTGGTGCCAAAAGCAGGTTTATGAAACACAGGAACGATAAAAGATTAAGTCATGAATTAGCATAAACAAGAAGAAACAAGAAATTATAACCAGCATATCAGCTCTGCAAGGATTACAAAAAAGAGTACATTGTCTGATTTGCAACATTAGGGACACGGCAAAAACTTTTCAAAAGTGTAGCACAAAGTATACGAGACTTCAAAGAAGAAGAAAATGGCTATACTGAAAACGTTTTGATCTTTAATAAATAACTGCAGCAGAACAATATTCTCCCTCTTATGCTTTCTTCCTCCTTTTTCTTCTTCTTTTTTTCTGTACTTTTCATTCACTGTTGATTGATTCTCTACCACACATCTTTACTTCTTTTGATTGATTCTCTACCACCATCTCTCCTTCTTCTAAACTTTGTTACTTCCTTCGAGTGAATTCCCTACTCCACTTTCTGCTCATCATGTTCTTACATCCATCTACTAAATGCCCTCTTTGTTCCATCTAATCTTCTCTTTCTCAACAGCACATCCGTCCCAACTTTTTATAGTGTTTGGCGGCTCTAATCAGGTTAGACACTGTTTACATCAAGAGCCTTTTAGATGTGTTGGAATCGCAAGTTCAAGTAAGAAATAGGTTGGAATAAGAAAGTATAATGAATAAAGTTCTCTACTTTCTTGAAGCTTCTACGACTGAAAATAGATTTTGAAAGAGCTTCATATAAGGGTGTTAAAAGCATTGTCCATGGTTACTAGTGGTTAAAAATGGGAAAAATGAGAATGTCCCATCTAGGGCTGGTCAAAATAATCAAAACTTGCTAAAAATTTCACCCAACTAGAAATCAATTCAAGTCAATTTTGAACTCCTCACTTAAGCTCGAAATCAATTTTCAGTCAAATATGATCTTGGCCTAATCAATATAAAATAGCTCCATTAAATTTTAAATGAATATGTATGTGTGTATGTATATATGTATATGTGTATACATATATAAATACACACATACATATATACATACACACATACATACTTTATATATATATGCATAACTACATGTAGTTTTTCAGTTCTTTGACATCCCCTAAATTTTTTTTATTTGTACACGCTTGGCAAATCTATTCATTTATTGGTTTACTCAACCTTAAAACAGCTACATCTGCTACATAAGCATGCAAAAATAAATCTAGAGGATATGAATACATTACAATCCTATCTAGAAATTTATTAGCGCAGATAAAGAGGCTAGATAATACACAAAATTACATGGGCTTGGTAGCTTATCAGTCACAGTTTCACAGACTGTTGGGCAAACATCCAACCAATTCCGATGATCCTGGTTCTCTTTTTAGAGTACTTGGGGGGAAAAAATCTAAAAACTCTCTTTGAGCATTTTCGTAGCATTGTTTGCTTGAGATCCATGGTAAAATAAATATCAATTACCTCTTAATGAAAAGGATAAGGACAATACCAACCGCTTTTAGCCTTTACAATTATTTGTTAAGACCACTATACCACAAAGCCATTACGTGTTACCGTGAAAGAAATAAATTCCAAGATGATATTTCACACAAAAAAGAAAAGATACAGAACACACAAAAATTTGATTTGAATTGGTTAATTAAATCAACAAGCTCATATAGTTGCTAAATTTACACAGCTATAATTTAGTTTCAGATCTTCAGCTGGCCAAAAATGAATGATAGCTATTTAAGAAATTAACTGAAAGAAAGATTAGTGCTCGTGTCAGAGAAGAGAGGCAATTGACAGTAAAGTAATGAGTATTACCTGAGATTTTGAAGGAGGTTTCTGTGTAACCTTTCTAGAGCCTTTAGCAGCAGCCTGTTGAATTGCAAGATCAGCAAGTATGCAATCTAGGCACCACAAAACAAAATCAGCAAGAGCCTCAGGTGATTTCGCAGCAATCCAATCAACTGAAGTCTTGTAAACTGGTTCCGAAATATGACATATAGGGATCTGTTTCAAAGGAAAGAGATGTAAATAAAGTTTCCAATTAAATTTGCTAGAAAGAAAAAGACGCCCTAGTGTCTTAAAGGTTGACTGTGGAGTAAAAAATCTTCAAATTCCACATATATTAGTTATTTCACTGTGATATAAAAAATAAATATTCAGTCCAGCCTATTATTCTAGTAATTGTTGTTGGTCAGTGACTGACATTTCCAGCAATGAAAAGAATTCCTAAAATGAATAAATTATCTACTCCAAACCAAATCGGCACTACCAATATCAGTTTTGTAGTACAAGTTTTCAAACACTATCTTCATTTTTTGGGCAACGTTAGAAAACAAAAAAGAAAATCTCTTATGGTAACCAATACCTCTAAAATGAAAAATAATAATAATAAAATTCATGCAATCACATCTTTGTGTATATTTCAATGGAACATGGAAAAGACTATAGAGAAATTATAGCAATGTCTCGTGTCATATATGTATTTTAAGTTTCAACCACTAAGTTAATAGTAATTCACCAACCTGAGTAAAAGAATGCTCCTTCATTGTTGAATAATAACACAAAGCATTGCCTTCATGAGATAATTACATGGAAATTTTCTTACAAATAATATTTCATAATTAATTCTAAAGCCAAAAAAAACCATAGAATGGATTATGTTCCTCAAAATAAAAAATGGATAAGAAAATAAAAGAAAAGCTGAACTAAAAAATGAAAAACAATAATACAAAAAGACAAAATGGAGTACAAAAAGACGCAAACAAAGAATAATAGAAATAAAATGGAAAACAGGCAACCAAGCTAACCACAAATGCTTCAAGGACCACAATAATAGAAAGTGCATTGCATACTCCAAAATAATCAGTTCCTTTAAAAGAGAGATAATAAAACAAGTACTTGCAAAAAACATGTTTCCATTCAGATCTAATGAACCTCTCGATTTATTTATTATAAAGTAGCCTTCTAGCCAACATAACGCTAAATGGAAGTCTCCACTTCCAAGGCAGTAATGATCATTTCTTGGGGAAAATCACTTCCATCAAGACCTAATGAACCGATCAAGTTCTTTGTTATAAACAAGCCCACATAATGCTATTATATCTGGCAGTCTTCACTTCAAAGGTAGTATTGTTCATTTATTGGTGAAGGTCACGCACAAATAAAGGAAAGTTGCAAATACAACATCAAAAGCACCAAAAAATTTGCATTGAAAAAGATGAGATTCTTCAGTCAACAACTGAAACAACAAATTACACAATGGAATATTACAATGACATAATCCAGCCAGTCCTATAATCAAGTAGGATGCATAAATTTTCTTTACCAAATATTTACAACAAGAGCCAAACTGTATCAAAAGAATTGCTATTTTATCATTTAAGGTGGACTTGCACAGGAAATTTAAAATGATAATTGCAAGAAAAAGAAACCAAAAACCAAATGAGAAGACCATGATTTTTCAGCGCAAATGGCACTCAAAAATATCCATGCATCTCTCCAATATAAATAGAACATGAAATTAATTTGAATTTACACTGACAGGTTAATCTTAACCAATTACAATGTCCGCCTTACCACTTAACAGGAAAGAGTAACCATCTCCTTCAACAATTCATATCAAAGGCAAATGCTTTTAAAGAAAAAAAAAAACAATACTAATTTTCCAATTAAATTTAGCATAAATAATAAAGCATGCATAATAAATGCAATACATTAAAGAAAAACTACAAACAAAATGCAGAATTATACTTTGGACTCACTTCAATGATTTTAGCAACAGGTGACTCCTTGAACATCTTCGTCCATGGGAATTGCGAGGCACTGACACCGGAAAATGCTCGCCCAAAGTAGTCAGCGAATCGCATCAGCTGGATATCATTCTGCGACTCATAGGAAACCTAGAAACAGAATAAAGATCTAAAAAAATTAAACTATCGTTGAATAACGGATAAAAGGGAAAACCATACGGCGGATCTAAGCTCTAATTGCAAGGTAATAACATAAGAAAAACAAGCCAAGTACTCACCGACACCTCTGCAAGGTGTGCAGCGAGATCTGATGCGTCAATCTTAGAGGCGGCCTCGTGGACCGTCACTTTGGGTTTCTTAGGCTTCTTTTGCTTGACCTTCTTCACTAACTCTTCCCCCTTCTCCTGTCCCGCTTCTCCAGCTCCCTCTGCTCCGCTATCGTCGTCATCCTCGTCGGAAGCAGCCGCTGCGGCCGGTGGCCTCAATTCAGAGGCAGCAACGGCAGCGGATTCAATGGCGCGGCGGCGTTCCTGAGCTTTCTGCTCAACCGATGCGAATACGTTGGGGCGCTCGACAGGAGAGACGCCATTTGATAGCTGATCCCCGGCGGCGGGGATGGCCGGCTGAATCTGGCGACGGTGGCGCTTGCCGTAAGTTACCTTCTGCCATCCGTGGTTGGATGCGGGGGCGGAAGAGCCGTTGGAATTGTCTTCGAGGGCATCGGCGGCGGGGTGGGAGCCTGTGGGGGCATCCATGCCGGCTGGATTTGACGCAGATCGGAGGGCACGAGAAATTTCGGGGGACCGAGAAACGAGAGGAAAGCTCTGATTTGGATGCTTGTGGGAATGACTGGCCGAGCAATTTATATTATCGTTAAAAATTTGGGTTAGAATATCCGATCCAATTTGAAAATTTATCTTGACATAAAGTACATTTCAAATCTCGAATTTTTTTTTATATCTAACTTAATTAAGACAAATTCATAAATTCATCGTATAAAGCTTAAATTCAACTTTTTAGTTCACAATATAAATTTTCAATCAACATATTTGATACTTCATGCAAAAATTATCTTGATCGGGCAAGAATCTCGAGGCAAAAATCAAGTTAGAAACTTCAAAAATTAAATCCGGGAGCACTTGAACTTCTATTTCAGAAAACTTACAGTCAAACTGAGCGTCTCGGAAATACGAACCCAACGACACCAAATTTGACTCAATCCGAGCCCAAATGAGTCCAAATCAAGGACCTAAGCGTTGTTGGAAGGTTCGAATCACAATTTGAGTTACCAAACGGTCTCCGATTTTGGCGAGCTTATAGTCGAATCGAACGGCTCGACGACACGAATCCAACGATCCCAAGATCGTCGGATTACAACATCAATAAGGCCTTCAAATGGCTGACGAACGGTGTATGATCAAAGGATTCAATATCAGCCGTCCATTCAACCACTCCCTGTTCGCCATTGATCTCACACATATTTACAAGCCATGCCACTCCAAAAAAACTATAAATAGAGCCCTCATTCTTCACAAGAGTGACTCAAGTGAAGAGAGAGAAGAAGAAAAAGGGGAAAGGGAGAATCCTCTCCTCCTCGACCACCGTCGGAGTTCATCCTGCCGCCCTAACACGCCGGGATTCTGCGTGATATTCGGGAGAACGCAGGAATTCTGCCCAACTTCCACGTGATGCTGAAATTCTTCCCAATTTGCAACAGAGTTCCCTCCTAACGCCGAAACTCCGCCCAAGTGAAGCCGGAGTTCTCTTCTGACACCAACAGACGTCGGACTTCTACCCGACGTCGGACCTTCACTCTTCGCCAAGTTTCTACCCGACGCCGGACTTCGCTGGACGTCTACGCGAAGATGGATTTCTTTCCATTGTTGGACTTCTACCTGACGTTGTCCTTCTGATCTTCGTCGTCAGACTATAGTCTTTCCGACCTCCGTCGCCCGCCGACTACGGTCCTCCTGACTTATGTCGCCCACCGAATACAGTTCTTTCAACCTCCGTCGCCCGCCGACTACGGTCCTTCTGACTTATGTCGCCCGCCGACTACAGTCTTTCCAACCTCGGTCGCCCACCGACTACGGTCCTCCTGACTTACGTTGCCCGCCGAATACTGCCCTTCCGACCTCGGTCGCCAGCCGACTACGGTCCTTCTGACTTACGTCGCCCACCGACTATAGTCTTTCCGACCTCCTTCGCCCGTCGACTACGGTCCTCCTGACTTATGTCACCCACCGACTACAATCTTTCCGACCTCTGTCGCCCATCGACTATGATCCTCCTGACTTAAGTCGCCCGCCGACTACAGTCCTTCCGACCTCCATCTCCAGCCGACTACGGTCCTCCTGACTTACGTCGCCCACCAACTACAAGCCCTCCGACCTCCGTCGCCCGCTGACTACGGTCCTCCCGACTAAACGTACATATCAATAATGATTCTTTGTATTCATATCATGTAATGTACCCTATAAAATGTACATCAAGCTAAGGCCTTCTCCCAAGGAAGGGCTTCATTTGTAATCGACTGCAATACTAGTGAATTCATTCAAACTGGGCTAGGCCCCGTGGTTTTCCCCCCTTTTCAGGGGTTTTCCACGTAAAATTCTTGGTGTCTCATAAATGTTATACCCTCTCTCTTATCTGATTGCATGCCAGATTTTCATACAACGCTAAGACGATAAACTTTATATTTCTCTACTACCGCGAATACTCCTGGACGCAACAAGATTAAAATGAATTGCTTAATCTAACGTAGGTATATGATTTTTAATAATAAAATTTTGAGAAAAATTTGAACTTATATGATTCATAATAGTTATAGTTAAACAAATCTTCCAGCTATACTTTTATTTGAAGAATTTGTTGAACTTGTTTTTCATCAAACTATAGGTCAATGGGGGGTTGACTTGGTCAAATTGATCAAGCCAAACCCCAATGCCCATCCCATTAAGTTCAATGGGTCAAACCAGGTCTACTGAACCCATACCCAAGTCTTAGGTTAACCTAGGTTGACCCAATAACCCAAATCCCCTTCATTTGAATCCTAATAAATTCCAAACCATCCTTGGCTGAATCCCCCACCTACTCGGGTTTAAGTGACCATGTTGACTTGGTCAAGCCATGCATTGGTCAACCCTAGCCTTGTATGGTCAAATTTGACCTATTTAGGTCAAATCTTCCCCATTTAATGCATTTAAAGCTTTCAAAACCGTCTCCTTGAGCCAAACCATAGTTAAGGAGCCCTAATTACCTCTTAATTGGCCCTAGGAGCAATCCCAACCGTCCATCATAAACCTAGGGCTATAAATAGGCATGTTATGGTAACTTTGAAAGGACTTTTGCTCTTGCTCTCTCTCTCTCTCTCTCTCCAAGCTCTCACAATCTCCCTCCACCTCTCTCAAGCCTAACCCCACCGGTCAAGGCCTCCGGCGATCGGATTCCGACCACCCTTACTTGAAGATCGTCCAAGGCTTAAAGTGGACAATCCAAGGCTTCTCAAACCATAGTTCTTGAAGGAAGATTAATCGTGGATAGTCAACAAGCTCAAAGACATCATAAACGATTTAATCCATCCATTAAATCGAGGTATAAATCTAACCCTATATTAGAACACTTATATCTAAATAATTTTTCATACATCAAATTTTAGACAGTGATTTTGGTTCCCCATGAATGCTCTTCATGCATATTACATGTGTTTAAATTTTTCATTAAATTTGATCACATTGATTGAGAGAACAAAGCAATTATTATTTTAGGGCTTCAGAGCTAGGCATGCATGAGATGCCCACCTTTGGGCCGTTGATGAACGGCTCGGACTAAGCAGCGCTGCGATTTTATGTAATCGTGCGGTCCGCTTGACCGCTTAAATCTCAATTTTTTGAAATCACAACCATCCATTCAGGTTAGCGGAAGATCGGACAGGCGAGGCTTCGAGGTGACACAGATTAGTAAAGCTGCATGGAACGCACTGCTATAGCAATCAGTGGCAATGATTTCGCGATAGTGTAATCATTGCCAATGATTGGTGCCGTGACGCAATTTCGAACTCACCAATGGGAAGGAGCCATGTGGCGCTGCCGCTGTCAGAATTTGTTAATTAAAATTAATTAGTGTTAATTAATTTTAATTAACAAAAAGCTTTAAAATAATTTCAAAATTTCCTTTTTGTATTTAATAATTAAGTACAATATATCAAATTTCTTTGAAAATCATCCCTTTTAATTTAAAAATAAAATTATTTTAAAATATTAAATATATTTTAAATTATTTTAATTATTAAATACCTTGTAATTTAAATTAATAATTAATTATAAATTATTAAATGATTATAAATAATAACTTCTATGTGGTTAATAAACCATAAATAACACCATTTTATAGGTCATTTTTATTAAATAATATTAACTATTAATACAAATTTATCTTTTATTAATATATTTGCAACAAATTTATTTGATTAATTATTAGTAATATTAATTAATTATTTTTAAAAGTCTATTAAATAATAATTAATATAAAATAATATTCTATTTAATTATATAATTAATTAATCGTTCGCTAAATTGATTATATATAATAACTTAGATGTTATCAAATTTAATGATAAATACTATTCATTATTTTTGTCTATATATTTTACATGTGTATAATGTACAAGCACTTAGCCTAGGCTCTTCTAGTGTGTTATGATTTATTGCATTATCCCTTTATGTTACCCTAAGGGTTAGTCATTAAAACTTGATTTAAACCTATTTAACATAGCAACACTTTAAGGATAATAATTAAGGACCCATTTAGAAAACTTAGAGAAATTATAGAAACTGGGATTTGATGTATCAAGTTGTGAAATTCTATAAAAATAAGGCATTTCAAACATAAGGGATCCAAAGGGAAAAGAAAAACTCTTGTTGGGAAATTCTTTTCATTTAGATACTAAATGATGAATCATACGAAGACTGAAGGAAGACTATCCATAGAAAGACTTGAAAATGAAGGTCAAGATGAAATGACTTATTTTTAAGAATTATTTCATTCAATAGGATTAGAATCTAGGTTGTTGTTCGTGGGGCCTAATCACCATTACTTTTCTACATATCATGTGTTATATTTTATATGGCACTTGCCATGGACTTTCTTTTACTATGGTGGATATATTTATATTGATGTATTTACTTTGTTTGTGCCATAAAAATTACCTACTTTTCATAAGTTTCTTTCTTGCATGTGTTTGCGCCTGATTTTGCTAGGCTCTTTAAGGATAAAAATTTTTCTATTCATAATCAAAATTTAAAATTTTAAGAATTAAATAACATAGAAAGTTAAATCTAGGGAATAGACGAAATCATCCAGGATCGTATGCATATTAATGCATCTTCTTTCTGCTTATTTAAGACACTTTCCCACTCACGGGTAGAGTTCAGATAATATGGTCTATAAGGATGATGTGCTAAACCTGGGGAAGCCTAATCTTTCTAAGAAAATTATTTGTATAAGTCTTTGTTAAATTTCAAACATACATGATTTGAATACTTCAATTAGTATGCATTGCATTAGAAACTTATGAAATCAAAATTTTAATTGCATTAGTTCTAGGAGCATTCTACCATACATAAGTACATGGCCATTTAGGAACTTCTATAGATATCAGCCTTAATTTCTAAAAGTTTAGCCACTTACCCATCTTTTATGAATGCTAGATAGCATATATTTTATACGATTAGGTGGTTAGCTGGCAATCCTTTTCAGGTAGGATATAAGTCTTGAATGTATTAGCTAGAATATGAGTATTAGTATTATGTGTAGAACACTAAACCCACCTTAGATTTAGGGTTCAAGGCT